CCCCGGCTCGACCTCCGCGCTGGGACGGCAGAGAGCCGCTGCCGCCGCCTCCAGCGCTACCGCTGAAGCTCCCGCCCCCCGGGCCTGGGAACCGCCGCTGTCCGAGCCGGAAGCACCAGATTCTTCGTCCTCGGTGTCCTGCGAAGCGCGCTGCCGCCGCCGGTCCGCCATCTTACGGAGAACGGCCGCGGCGGGCCAGTTCCTGACATACCGCGCCCATCGCAGGGGCTGCCGGGAGCCGAGAGCTAGTCCCAGCATGCTTCACTTGGGGCGCCTGTCGCCCGCTTTTATAGGGGGCGGGGTTGGAGGCGAGGCTGGCGGCCTGCGGGACGTTGACGGGCGGGCGGGACTGCGTAAACCGGTGACGTGAGGAGGCGTGGCGCGGCCCCTGACTTCCCCTGGGTAGGGCCGGGGGCGAGGGAAGCTTCACTGGGGCAACTCCTGCGGCTCGTCGCCCGGCCATCTTGGGCGCTCCAAGTGGATAGCGTTGACTTGTCACAGCTTCACTGCGGCACTGGAGCTGTTTCACTGTTTTCTTTTTCCATTTCTCGTTTCTATGTACGTTTGAAGCATATCGTTTTACCGCATTCGTTTGCTTGGTAAAACCGCCAATCCAGGTAAACCTTTGAAGCCGTTGTGCTGCATCAGGTTTGTCACACCAGCCCATCTTAAGCTAAAGGGCAGAGGAGAAACCAGCTGTCTGTAGGGAAGCCCGAGGATTTAGTGTTGCAACACTACAGTGTTTTCCCTGTATTCTCATTTCCTCTTCCCTCTTCATGTGGCTTCTCACCCCAGCCATCACCTCTCCCAAAGTGCAGACTGGTATGATGGCAGTCTTACCAACATTTTAGAACCGATTTAAAAAGAGGTAATCACAGGAACCGGCGTTGCTTCAGTATCCTGACGTGATTTCCTTCTTGTTAACGGTTGCCAGACGGTAGATGAAGGCGTGCTCTGATTTTGGCAAGACATTTTTCAACAATGAAAAAAATCAGTATTTTTTATGTGGGCCATAGTTAGAACGCACAAGAAGCGTGAATACGCAAGAAGCGTGAGCTATTAGTGCATCTACAGGAGTGCACATTAATATACACCAGATAAAGGTCACTATGGCATAGCACAGCATTCTGTGCTGTGTAATATTTTTATAAATCATATGGTTAAGGATCCTGATGCTTATCCAATTTATGGACAATATGAAACTAGAAGGCATTCTGAATGTCTTAAGAGAGATACCCAGGATCCAAAAAGATCTCAACTGGTTAAAAAAGAGTCCAAATGTGACAACTTGTAAATACACCTCCAAAAACCAACTGGCTGCGTTCAAAATGGAGGATGTATGATCTAATGAATGTTTAAAGGTTCCAAAAAAAAATAAAGACCTAGAAGAGCCTACTGATCACAAGGTAAATTGATACAATAAGGCTGCCAAGTTTGGTGTCTAAATAAGGAAAGTGATAGTCTGCCACTTTGCCTTTCTGTTGTTTGGTCTGGGTGCAATTTTTAAATGGACATGTGCAAATTGTTCACTCATCTAGAGAGAACTGAAACATTCAAAATCCTTTCTTCTGAGGGACAATTGTAAGATCTCTGAATGTTTACTGTGAAGACTGGGATAGCCACAGCAGTCTTTAACTATTTGAGGGACTATGAGAAAAGGACGAATTGATCTTTTTTCATCACCCTGGAAAGTAAAGCAAGAACCCATGGGCTCGAGTTACAAGAAGTTAGATTTTGTCACTAGAAAAAAATGTATAGGAGAAAACAAAGTGTTAAAGGAGAAGCTGGACTTCATTTGTCTGGAATGTTGTCAAAGGGAAATCATGTATTAGGGGTCAGACTAGATGACCTCTAAGTCTTTCCAACTGAGGTTTTATTAATTTAGATACCAGGCACCAAGCATCCTATAATCTCTTGTTTTTTAAGTTACCAATTATGTGTAAGGAAGAACACAGGACAAAGGGGGATGAAACATACATTGTGTTCATACAAAATGGAAGTGCATACCTCATATAAAAGTAAAAAATGGTGTGTTTTTCTATTTTGTGAAAATGGATTTCTTTTTCTAATCTTTTAAAATATGTAGGCAGAATTGTTTACTGCTTCCGGGTAAATTAATAAATTGAAGCGGAAGTTCAAAAATTAACAGCCACAATAGTTTATTTACAATTGAACTCTTTATAAGATATTTACAAGACAACCAATTTTACACATCAGAAATGGTATCAAAAGTATGAATTACAACACAGACAACAATATGAAATGGGCATAAACAAAGCTGAAGTAGACAGACAAGCAATTTCTTTTTAATTTATTAACACTAGCTTAAACTTTGTTAAAAAAAAAAAAAGAGAAACAAAAGAACTATGTTTTAGGAGAATTGCAGGGCCTTCAGCTGAAGATTGAATTTCACAGTGTTGTATCCCATGTAGGGAAAAAATAAGACTAATTTTTCCCCCACACTCTTAACACACTGTGATTTCGCTCTTGGAACTTTGCTAATCTACTCTCCAACCTCCTCCAAAGCTTCAGTATATCCAAATCAAAGGAGAATTGATCTAGAAGAGGGGACAATAAAATAGAGGTTCTAGGTAGAGGGAAAACCAAAGAAACAGAATCCACTTAAATCTGGCCAGATAGCACCTCATGGATTCCTCTTAGTCTAACTCATGTTCAGAATCTGGGGAGTCCCCTGGGTAGGCACAAACATAAAGGTTAAATTTGCTAACCCATATCCAAATTAGGAATCCGACAAATGCTGAAAATCAAGCAGAAACTGAGAGGAATCAAGGAATAAAATAAACAGACACTGATTGGTCTTTTTTCTTTTTGGGCACATTATAAAGGAACATAACATAGGTCGGAGTAGGAAAGCCAAACAGCTTGCCATATTAAAATGATGGAGAACAAAGAAAACCTGGCCCAGTTTTTCTAGAAATCTCCTTCCTCTCCTTAAGGTGTGAGATGAGAGCCCCTAGTGGAATAAGTCCTATTTCTCTCTACGTTCTTGCTGCAGTGAAGTTCACAGCAGGTTCCCTTGTGGAGAGCCCACTCTCTCCTAAGCAGATGGAGTTACAAATGAAAAACCATGGCCACACATACACAGATAAGGAGAAATAAGAGCAGCAAGATCATCCAAGAATACTACATGTGCTGCCGGAGTAACTCCTTTAAAAGTCAAACTCAGGGAGCACAGATCAACATCTCACAAAAAGCTTTAGCAGTGGGAGGCCCCTGAGGAACTTTTCTTTTCTTCCCACAATGGTATCCCATTCTCTCATGCTCCACTGATGGGCCGGCCACACACCCTACATACCTTGGCTTCTCCTCTAAAAGTGCTAATAATCTGGGGACATATTCTCTTCAAGGATAAAAGCCCCTACCTTCTAGGAGATTAGACCCCTACTTGTTTTCACACAATAGTCCTGAAGACTAAAGAAAGGCAATTCCTATATATTTAAGACCAAAGGTCTTGGCTCTATTTTCCTTCCAGATAGTTACAGGGATTTTACACTGAGACCAAAGTGGCCTGGAGTGCTGTCCTGAAAACTTTTTTTAAGTGGGGGGGACCAAGATGGTACACATGCAAATCTATTTTTACAAAGTGAATGGAGAAGCTCATTAGGTACATCTGTTTGTTTCAAGATGTAGACATTTGCCAGCCAAAGGAAACACATATTTCCACATATACCCCCACCCTCCCAAAACCTCTATCCCACCACCATGAGCTCAGCTAAAAGGATAAAACCCAACTAAGGAATACTCGAGAAGTGATGTGACACAAGGACATCTACACAGGTTCTGGCAAGCCACCCCCAAATGCCAGCTGCTTTTGTTTAGAGCCATAACTGGTCCCAAACTAACCATCCTCATGCTCTTTTCCAGGGATTTAATTTTTTGAGGGGTGGAGGAGGAAATTCAGTTACCCATTAACTAAGAAAATAATCATAGCCAAACATGCCTTCCCACATGGCTATATCACAGAATAGTTTTAACAGAGCAACTGTTTTCAGATAATTATCTACCAACTCTTCAATCTCTTTTCTACCCTGTGAAGATGACTTGCTTCATCACATCACTTGTTATTCCTCATATGGTCCTTAAGCTCATGGTGAGGCTTATTTTGTTCTGTTTTAGGGTAAAAACCACTATACTGAAACTATAAGGAAGGGTATACCAGGGCCAGAAGAGTGCCATGCAGGCACAGCTCTAAAGGCAGGGGTTGCTTCATCTTACACAAGTCTAATGAAGAGAGCCCTTTTACCCCTTTAACATAGGCAAATGTAGAGAAGCAGACCCCTGAAGCGTCCGAATCTGCCATCCTATAGATTTACCTTGAGAGCTCATTTCCCCAAAAAGGGAAAAGAAATCCCGGTCACCCTCCATAATTCACAATTAGCCCAATGAAAGAGTTTTTGTGAAATCACAGTGATGAAAACAAAACGAAGATCAGGGGAGTATGGAAGGGCATTATCAGCGAATGGTAACATACATGAGGACAGAGGTCACATATACAGGTCTCTGCCACTCTCTGGGAATGGCATGCTACAACTATCTGAAGACAGAAGGTTCTTGCCAGCACAGCTATTTCCTACATGTCCGATGAGGTGTTTGCTTCTTCTGGATCTCTAACCTGCATCGGCTACGCTCATCCAACCAGGGCAGCTCAAAATTCCTGGTAAAAAAGGATAAGGAAATCAACTTGCAAGACTAGAGGAAATTTAGTATTGACATGAGAATAACTCAAAAAAAGACATTATGCCCTTCACACTCCTAGCCCTGACTTCCAAGCCCCAAGTTTGGAGTTCCTTTCCTACCTCAAAGCCAGAACAACAGTGTGCTATTAAAGTGACTGAATAATCTATTTCTAACTCAAAAAGCAATCCTCCTAATTCCTGGCTTAGAATCTTATCACTGCAAAAGCTAATTGCTGAGGCAGCCTCACTTCTGTCAAAGAGCCATGGCTGTCCCTAAGCCAGTGATGCCACCTTACGTGTGGGCTTTCATGAAGTCTGAAAGGGAGGGGAAGTACAAACTGCCTGAGAGGAGGGGGAAAAAGACTTTATACTTACTGTGGAGTTAGTTTTGGTAATGGTCGTCCAAATGCTACAACAGGCAAGAAGGGGGTAATCATCAAACTTTCAACTATGGAAGAAAGCCAAATGGGACCTTGTTAGTGACACAGATGGGAAATGTCTAGCAACCGTACCTGCTCCAAAATACTGCATATTCATTCAGAGCAAGTTGTATCCTGGAGCCTTGCACCCTTTTTCTTCTCTGAAAAACCTACTCTTTTAGACAAACAAAACTTACCATCATCTGGCTCAGGGAAAAATGAGGTAACCTCAGGCTCAGATTCCTGAATTCCTTTCTTTTTATACATTCTGAGCTGCAGTCGCTGTAAAATTCTTTGTTCCCTGATCCTCTGAATATCCCATCTGGGAAAAACCAGAAAACAAAACAAACAAACCCAACATTACTGAAAACCTGCTCTATAAAAGCAACTCACACAATCCAGTTGTTAGGGAGATCTTTGCTGAGTCTTCTAGATGGGGTGGGGTGGCGGGTGAGGTGGGGTTGAGAGGTAGTAGGGGTAAAGACAGAACTGCCTGCTTGGTTAGGTCTAGCAATCTAAATCATGTATGTGTTGGTGTTTCCCAAGAAGAAAAAGAGGTCATTTTACCTGTAACAACAAACACAGATACTCAACCAATTGGGAAGCCAGTAATTTAAAAGTATGAAGAGCTCCAAGGCTCTCCTCAGCACAGATGAGAGAGGTCAGGGTCCTACCGGGCTCAGTCGTTCCCAGAATGAACATCTCTAGCCTCACCTTTTCCTTCTCTTCTCATCCAGCTCCAGTTTTGCATGCCGCTTTGAAAACACACTGTCATCCAGGTTCTGTGTAAAAAATAGCAAGTTTATAAGCTGTTTATCACTGTGTGACATGCGTACACTCATTTCCAGCTTCCAGGAATGTAAAATCTTTCACCTTCGGGTCCCACCTGAGTCTGTGAGTTCTATGGATATCATGGGAATCTCCTGGTAATAAAACCAACAAAACACACATTCCTTTCCCCACCTCTACCCTTGCAGAATCTCCATATTTCAAAATCACTGATATAACTTTCCAAGGTGAAAGTCACATCAAACTGAAACAAACCCCTGACAACCCTTGAGACTGCTATAAACCCTCCCCACCTCCATACTTTGTTAAGAGTCTGAATTTAAAGTAAATACCAAACTTTTAAAAGTCAAATGAGCTTGGAATAGGTAATTCCGCTGCTGAGTAGTACATGCTAACTTTTCTACTTAACATGAAGTCTACCTTTGTTTTGAACATTCCCCAGCTATTTTTGAATAAATCACTTAGCCACTCTGGACCTCAGTTTTCTCATTTATACAATAAAGAAGTTGGATTACATCATCTCTCAAGTTCCCCTCTGGCTTTAAAGCTCTATTTAACCCATCTATATGTTACAATGACATATTCCAGTTACACCCCCATTTCTATCTATCTCTCACTCCCTTCCACTGACAGGTCTTGGGTACCTACCTCCAAAATGTCTGAAGGATTTGGGTCCCTTAGAGGCTCTACTGAGTGGTCCCTCCAAGAAGGAACTGGAAAGAAAAAAAAAAAGAAAAAGAAAGGGAGGAGGGGTGGAACCACCCTTAAATCCAAGGTCACACAACCTACTATTCACTAGGACAAGAGGTCTCTCCCCAGATAAGACAAAGTTACCAAGTGATAGGAATCCATTCTATGGCCTCACCTGAAGCCATATTCAGTGTCCTTGCTATGATATTAAAAGAACCTAAAATGCCATTGCCGTCTGCCAAACACAGGATCACAAAAAAACCCTAAACCGATACCTGACAATTCATATAATGGATGCTATTGCAGTTCCTGAAAAACAACTGAAATTTGTAGTCATTTTGAAGTCTATAGTGTAATCATATGCCAAGGAATCTCACTCTCCCACATCCAGCTGATGGGGAAATGCAGCTCCCAACCATCCACCATCCCACCAACCACCACCCCAGGCCCAGCCAGCACAGTAGCTCCTATTCTACTCACCAGCCAAGACTGAAGTTTCTCCTGCAACACTTGATGGCATCAGACACCCTAAATAATGCAGGAAAGAAGAATCATCTCAGTGTAAAAAGAAAAAAAGCCCACACCCAAAATGGAGGAAAGGATCATCACTGAAGTTCTCACTAGGAAGCCATTTTGGTTTTTTGAGTTGTTCTTTTGAGAATTTCTCTCTGGGGAAGGGGAAGAGGGAACAACAGACAAAAGAAAAGAAAATAAGCCCACCACTTTTTTTTTTACACTGAGACGACTTCTTTTCTTCATTATTTAGGGTGGTTTCCCTGCAACAGTTGATGGCCAAGGATATCAAACCTTAAACTCAGAACATGGCAGGTGAGTAAAAGTTGACCCTATTTTTCAAATAAAAGATCAGTGTTCTCAAAACTTACATATGTAGTCTTCTTAAACAGCTCCCTCCTCCCTCCAAACAAACTACCTTGCTGGTCCAGCCTGAACAACATGCACAAAGACTTTGGCTTCCTCAGAACAAGCCATTGAGACTTCCTCTTGAGATAGGGGGCGTCAAGAATAAGGATTCACACGTTTATTCACAACTCAGGCTCCTCAAAGGGCGGGGATCCCGCAATCATACTCCTTCTGTACTCCTAGACCCACAATCTCAGAGGTGTTTGGAATTTTCTGTACTAGAGCAGAGAGGGTTTTCAAAAACAGCCAGTCACACAGAACAGCTCCGGACCAAGCCATTTCCCAATCCCGGATGGGAAATTGCTTCACAGTTTCTCTTAAGTTATCACACAGCATTGCCATGGCAGCAAGAAGGTTAACCATTAAGGATGAACCTGTTCAACTGACTGAACCAACAATAAACCTGAACCTAGATCAGGGTCCTGGTCTATCTCATGTACTCAAGTGTGAGACCTAATGAATTTTAGATAATTAAGAAAACGAATCTATCTTCCCCACTTAATTTTGTCACAGAACAGCCAAACAAAGCCTGGAGAATGCTCTTGTCTCATTGGAATGGATTCCCATCCCCATCCCCGCTAGGGAAAGACATAGTAGTAGAAACTCAGGGCTGCGGGTCTATCCAAGAAGGCTTCCCCACCATCACCCCAGAGCACCCGCAGTGACTGTCACAGACTAACATGACACGATTGAAGGCACATTCCAGTTACTGGTTGATGTAGGAGATAGGGGAGCATCTCTGTGTGGAAGCCATGAAGAAAAAAAGGGAATGAAGACCAAGGTCCCATACCCCACACCCATCCCAAGCAGCTCAGATATCCCAAGATAGTCCTTATTGTTTGAAAAATAGTTTGTAGACCATTTTATTTAAATATATGAACAACCAATGGGCTACTGCAATCCAAGTAAACTCTTCACATTTAGAACCTTTGTGAAGTATAGTAAGATAAAGTAAGACTGTTGGTCTTTGGCAGATTCCTCCTGCCCCCCAGACCGGGACATAGAGATACAGATAAATGTTTTATATAGTTAAAGAGCGGAGGCCCAGGTGAAATTCCCCACCCCAAGCTGGCTCCCCAACCCAAAAATTACCATTGGCCCCTGAGAACACCCAAAGACCACCCTCCCAGGTTTCACACAATATCAATTGCAGGAACAGTCGTGCATGGCAAAGTATAAGTTCTATGCATTTCACAGCACAGAAAACCCTTCTTTCAGAGGGCATGCAAGTTGCCGGAGATTACACCCCCAAGTCTGGTGCTCTTGTGATGAGCAACTTACTGGCAAACACATCTCCCAGTGTTGTAAGCAGGCAAATACATTGAGCACATTTTGCTGTAATTCCATCTATTTGCAATGCCTGCACAGTGTCTGTCTCTGGCTGTTAACTTACTCATTCTTGACAGAACTCTGCTTTATTGATTGCACTTTTTAAAAAATGCCAAAGGCATTTTCACACTTGTTAGCTTGACCGCCACCACTAGGGTATAAGAGCAAGTGTTCTCTATGCCTTACTTGCTACAGTCTCCTCCTTCTTTGGAGAGGATTCCCGTAATGGTAACGGTGATGGGGGAGGCTGGTGCCAACGACACAAATACATTTCTGTGGTGGAAAGGTACGGCAAATCTTCTATCTCACTTGAGAAGGCTTTCTCCTTGGGATGGGTGCTGGGTCCCTTCTGGGGAGTCGAGAGTCTTGGTGGGGTGTCCACTGAAGACCGGGGCTTTTCTGGAGTTTCTTGGCTCCTCAATTCACGTTTACAAACAGTTTCAGATAAGGAACCACAGGGTTCCTCTTTAACGGGAGAGTGCTTAGGAGTTTTTGTTTTGACTTTTGAAAATTCAGGAGCCAGCTTTTTAACAGGAATCTTTCTTTCTGTACTTCCAAATGGGGATTTCCTATTAGATAGGGAAGAAAACATTACAAAATTTATTGACTCTTGAATGAAATCTGATTTGATTACATTTAGGGGCAAGAGAATTAAGCTTGCTCCAAAATGACCAGTATTCAGGTATGTAATTGTCTGGGTTCATTTGGCCATCATGAGGAAGAACAGCTTCATGCTTAACAGTATATGTAACAGGCCCTTAGTAAATGTTTGTTAAACAAGTGAGTTTCCATGATTAAGAACCTCTACTGGGATCCTACTGCCTACTAAATCTAAAAAGGTTCCTATTTTATTCAAGATCCTTTTAGCTAACATTAGATGCCTCTACCCTGAGGCCTATTTCAGTCCTGTCAACCAGGGACCAGTCTCTTATTCCCCTGCTACACACCCTCAATCCTATACCATGTTAATTATAATCTCTATTTCTTTTTTTATTGTATCTTCTGGCTTTTTCCCACCAATCTACACACACACACACACACACTTCTAGAATGCCATCTCTTCTCCTTTTTACCATATTTTGTTCCAAGATCCCTCTTCTCCTTAAAGTTTCACTATTCTAACTCACAATAATTTTTAACACCTCTGAATCTTACAAAACTTAATATCACTATAGTCTATCAGCATATTTTATTGCAGTTGAATCCTGCAAAGTTTTCAAAATGTATGTCATCTTTACAGCCAGACTAATCACTTTGAGTCCAAGGATGGTTAGATCTTACATTTTAATGTGAAACAGTGTCTAATGCAATGAAAGAATTTAACACTTCTTAACTTGAAGTGAAGTGCTATAGTTCTCTTTAAGAAACTCAGCTGTCACATTTGTGGCCCATTCTCTTTATGATGTACTCTGCATTCTGTAATTACTACTGTGACCAATATGTTCCTAACAGACTTTTATACACTGTGTAAGAATATTTCAAGATAGTTTCTCAGCACAGAAGACCTCATGATTAATATAGTTGTATTAAAACTAATTCATAATAGGAATCTTTCCTTCTATACTTCCAAATGGGGGCTTCCAATTAGATAGGGAAGAAAACATAAAATTTCATAATTCATAAATCCTAATCCCTTACTCTCAGTCACTGGTAACAAGTGTCCTCCTGTCTAGACAGTGTAACAAAGTTATCAGCACACCTTTTGTGTCCCTTTCCACTCCGCCCACAGGAGAAAGGCTTGGGAGGCAGAGTCTGGGATGTCTCAGAAAGCTCCGGCTGGCACTCCAGTTTAATTTTCTCAGATAGCTCCGTTTCCTCTCTCTCTTCAGTTTCATAGCCCTGAAACAGCTTGTGCCTTTCTTTCTCGTTATCCTTCTTTACCAGCTGCATCCGCCTTTCCATACGTTCAATCCGAGCAAGAAGCTAAAAGAGAGAGTGGCAAAATGCAGGCTTAAAAAACAAAAAAATTCAACGCAGGTACTTGGCCCCATTTTGGAATCAATATGGTCTTCTGCCTTTTTCCATGAGCTATAGCAATTCAACTTATTTTAATAGGCAGACATTAATCTGACTAGATTTCCTTAAACACAATAGACAAGACAAGGTACACCATTTAATTGTAGGGGCTAACCGTTGTAGTTGGGGAAGGGCATGGGGGAATTTGTAGTTCATTCTTCTGAAAGAAAATCCTCTTCGCTGGGATGCCACAACATGTTTCTTAAATGGCATGGTCTCTGCTACAGCTAACCTTGTGGCTCCAAGTCAGTTTGGGAGTTTCCAGAATTAACCTTAATGCTCTTTGAGGAGTCCCTAAGGTTCTCCAAACACTATCCACTCTACTTTCACTCCAAAACGCTATACACAAGGGCAAAGTCCAGACAGTACATTGAGAAGGAATTAAAATCTCACACAATCACAGTGCCACTAGGGATTCCAGTGTTATTCGAAAGGAGGAGGGGGGAGGTGCCACCTAAACAGTGAACACTCAATTTGGAATAATTATAAGAACCAGTACCCATAAATCCCATCGATCATCAAATATGCATATTGCTTTACATTCGAGATAACAGAAAAAAAACCTATTTAGCTAAGTATTAAAAACAAAATCTTCTAACTCTATTTAAAGGGCGGACCACATAATCAAACAGAAAATGGAAGTCTGTATCATTGAAAACTTCACATTAAAATGTTCCAAAAAGAGGTGCCAACTGTGCTACTTATCTCCTATAAGCAGAATTTTATTTGGGTTAGACAGTGATATTAATGTTGATTTCACTACATCCATTTAGCTGCATAGATTTCATGAGAGGCCAAACAGCAACTGGAATAAGAGAAACAAGCTTAGGCAATGCTAAGTCTGCAATACACAACAGAAGCAGTGAATGCCAAGTTCAGACTGACACGCTATCCTTAACTCACCCCACTTTTCCTGCCTAGGAAAGTCTGCAAAGGGGCCATTACCTCGGGAACTGAGCAGAAACCTCCACAATCAGCAGAGAGCCCCCTGCCAGCAATACTCTATTTCCAGTTTTGAGTCACAGCCTTAACATTACTTAACCACGGTTTGTGGGTGACATTTCCTTGATTTCTTCTCCTTCACTGGTCCTTCTCTTCCCTCCTCCCCCCTGCCAAGTAAGGATATGATGTGTTGTTATTACAGTACCATCACACCCCTAGACTGCAGTACAGTAGCTGAGCAGTGCCACCTCCATGTTGAGTAACTTCCACAAATCAACACCATGAGATATTTTAATGAGACCTGCCCCAGCTCCCATTCCACCTTGCAGAATGCATTCTCCGGTAGCCGCTGCCTGAAGAGATTCATTTGGAAAGCAAACGAAATGAATAGCCCTCGCTCCCTTGCTCAGCCCTTGGTGCACACAAACGCCAGAGAGAGAGAGAGAGAGAGAGAGAGAGAGGGAAAGGGAGGGAGAGGGAGAGAGACTGCTGCAGCCAGAACACAACAATTGTAGAAACCATGTTTATTTTTAGGCAGCTGTAAGGTATGCTAGCACGGTATTACCCCACCACCACAGCTTTCCTGATACATGAAGGAATATGTTTTAACGTGAAAGGTGCCTTTAACTACTGCTGCAGTAAAAACAAGCCTATATAGTCATGCTCCTGAGAAGTACAAAGAAGTAATAAACGACTTCCCCACTACTTTAAGATTCTAAAATAGTGGGGGGAAATTTTGGTCTACTTAATACACTTAATAAGCTTAATTTCCACTGATGCCTTAAAAATCTTCCAGCCTCTAAACACCATGCTTATACAAGGAACTGGTCAGTAGGTCATGTTTTATAACTCAGATTCCTATTAAAAACTGTCTGAAATCAAAGGCAATGATTCTCTTAATGTCAGTTTTAAAAGCTAAAACAGGATTCCACTGTGAATCACCTCTACGTATCTGCCAGTTAAAAAGCCTACTACTGTAAAGATGCTACAGCAGTGCTTAGAGCAACAGCTGCTATGTTCCTCTCCTCCAGAACGCACTCCTAACGCAGAGCTCTTTAATTTAACCCCTTCCATAAAGCCACCACATATGCAGCCCACCTTTTCATTTTCAACCTCTCACAAATCAGGTCTTTTCCCACTCGAAACGTCTTTCCCACACGTCTGGGGCTGTCATTTTAAATTAACCCTTTGGCACCTGAAACGTTCCCCTCCCCCTCCCACTAGGAGGTTGCCCTTTAACCTTTCCCTCCAACTCAGTGTGTCTGTGAGCCTGGCTCCCAAGGACCCGGCACCTAAGAAGACTCCTTTGCTGGTGGCCAACCTCCAAGACCCTAACCCAGGGATACCTTAACCTACAGCACCCCTTCCCCCGAGCATGCGCACAACTCGCTCCTCGTCCCGAACGCAGATTAACCCCTCCCGTACCGTGTCTCTCTCAGACTTCAGCTCCTCGATCTCCTTCTCCTTGGCCTGCAGCTGCTGCTGCTGCTGTTCGATGAGGTCCAATTGCAGCAGAAGGATCTGTTTGAGGCAGGCGGCCTGACTGGAGGCTCCCGAGCCGCCGCCACCCCCGAGAGGGCTCTTCCTCATACTCTTCCATCGGCCCTCGCTGGCCGCCAGGGTCCCAGCGGTGGCGGTGGGTGCAAGGGGTGGCGGCCCGGGCAGAGGTAGTGGTGGGGGTCCCGCCGGGTCTGAGGCGGTGGCAGCTGGGGGAGCCGCCCCACCCTTGTCCCCAGCCCAGGGCGTAGGCTCTTTGGCCGCCGCCACGAGAGAGCCCGTCTGAATGGGCAGCACCGCCTGATACTTGGGTCGGGGACTGCAACCGGCTCCGGCTGCCGCTGGCTCCCCCCCAATGCCAGCTTGTTTGGTGGCCGGGGGCGGACAGGGCAAGGGCACCGAGCCGCCCCAGCTCTCTTCCTGCTGCCCCGGGGCCGCCCCGGCCGGCAGTAACAAGCCCCGGCCCTTGCCGCCACA